TAATAAAATTTAATAATAATTTTAAAAAAAGGATTAAAATAAAACCTCAAAGTCATTGCTGTCAGGTCATGACAAACTCAGCTAATTTCCAGAGGTCAGAGGCTATAAATTACATGGGGGGAGATTGCTAAGCTTTTTCCTAAGAAGTGGCTAGAGGATTTGAACCACCAAAGCGGCACTGCCTTTGGATCAGCAGCGCGGATGCCTATGGACTACGCCACCAGAGCTTGAGAGGAGGAAAAAATACTATTAAAGCTGTTTCTATTAAAATCAATACAGAATTTGAGGATCACTGTTAAAATGAAATAAAGAATGATAATACAGCTCTTAGTTACTACCCCTAAGTTAAAGAGGCGGTTCTTAACTTGGGACAATCCTATGAAATGAAATGAAATGTTGCCATATCTCTGCCATTCCATCACTGGTTACAAATCAGACTACGTAATTTTCAAACACTAGAATTTCAAAATTAGATTTCTGGGCTTTTCTTTCTAGTTCATCTTAGTCTAGAGTTCTGATAAAAAGTGTTCAGAAGGTAGGCACATGTGAGGTGCAGTGGCTGAAAACTGAATCTGGGTTTCCTGTAGGGAAAGTGAGAATTCTAACACTGAACCATAATTGTATTCATAAAATTATAAAATTACATTAGAACATTTTGTCAACTCTTGGAAACTTTCTCAAATTATTTACTGATAAGACTACTTATAATAAAAGTAGGGAGCAGTCCTTGGAGAGGGACTTCTCATTAGGGAGAGTGGAGGGACAGCACAAGAAAGGAAGACCCTCAATGAGACGGATTGATTTAGTGACTGAAGTAATGAGGGTAGGTGTGTCAGAGACAATAAAACTGGCACAAGACAGAGCAGGGTTTAGGGCTATTGTACATAGGGTCGACTGACACATAACAACAATGATAACAATATTTACAATAGATTCAGTTACAAACATCTAATGGAACTTGGCTGGAACCAGAAACTACCAGAGGAATGTCTGTGTTTCATTGACTATGCAAAGACATTTGACTCTGTGGACCACAACAAATTTTGGTTGACTTTGAGAAGAATGGAAATTTCAGAACACTTAATTGTGCTTATGCAAAGCCTACACTTGGACCCGGAGGCAGTCGTCAGAACAGAGCAAGGAAACACTGCATAGTTCAAGATTGGGAAGGGTGTACACCAGGGATGTGTCCTATCTCTATACTTCTTAAATCTGTATGTGGAACAGACTATACAAGAGGCTGAGCTCTATGAGGAGAAATGTGGCATCAGGATTGGTGTAGGAGACCAAAGAATGTAAAGGACTGCATCCTTAGAATATGGCTGTGTGCCTTGTACACGGAAGGTGTCTTCAGAAAGAAGAACGCAAGCAGATCTCACAAGGCAATCTGAGAAGGAAGACTGCAAGCAGTTCTCATACATCTTTAGACACTGACTTTCATTATTATTCCTGCTCTTGATAAGGTTGTTGCAAGATGAGAGAAAGCACAGTTTATGAATATAAAGAAGTCTTGGTTGAATGTATGTCTTTTATCTAAATATGTACCCAGCCCATCCAAGCCCTATGGTAATCTTAATGTTTCTACTTGTAGTACCCGGCCCGCCTGGGCTCTATGATGTAACCCTTAAAGTTTCTATTTCCCTGTGAACCATCTCTTTGTTTCCAAAAGGTATAAAATAAAGATGGCACAGCTGCCAGGGTCGGTTCAATCCTGTCCTGTACAGCTGCAGCAGTCCTGTCTCGTCTCTGTATGTTGTTTGTCTCTTGTGTCTTTATTTATTCATTTCCTCCAGGCATAATTTCCCCCAGAGAAACAGAATAAGCGGTTCTCAACAATCAGAGGAAGACTCATCAACAATCTGCATTATGCAGATAACACACCCTGCTTGCTGAAACTGAGGAGGACCTGAAGCACTTGCTGCAGAAGGTCAAGAACTACAGCCTTCAATGTGGATTGAGGCTCAACATAAAAAAAAACAATGATTCTCATCACTGGGCAGATTGGTAGCATCATGATAGATGGTGAAGAGATTGCGATTGTTAACAGTTTTCGTTTGTTTGGCTCCACAATCAACACTCTTGGTATAAGCAGCCAGGAAATTAAAGACAAAATGCACTGGGCATGTCTGCTGTCAGAGACTTCCTCTCCAAAGTACTGAAGAGCAATAATGTCAGTCTAGAGACTAAGGTGTGCCTGATCCAGGTCATGATCTTTGCAATTACTTGCTATGCATCAGAAAGCTGGACAATGTCTAGGGATGATAAAAGGAAAACTGATGCCTTTAAGCTGTAGTGCTAGGGAAGAGTACTGAGTATACCATGGACTGCTGGAGAACAAACAAGTTTGTCCTGGAGAGGGTGAAACCAGGCTGCTCTTGGAGGTCAGGATTCTGAAGCTTCATCTGACATACTTTGGACATGTTGCAAGGTAGGAGCATGTTGCAAAGTAGGAGCAGTCCTTGGAGAGGGATGTCATGCTTGGGAGTATGCAGGGACAGTGCAAGAGAGAAAGACTTTCGGTGAGATGGATTGATCCAGTGATTAGGGTAATGGAGGTATGCATGTCAGAGACAGTAAGATTGGCACAGGATAGAGCAGGATTTATGGTTGTTGTACATAGTGTTGCTATGAGTCACAAGTGACTCAATGGCACATAACAATAACAACAACATCTGTTTTTCAGAAACTGAATAGTATTAATGATTTCTTGGATCTCTTAGGATACATAACAATATTTATTATTCATCGTACTGTAGAGAGTGTCTAGATATATTTTAAAATTTCAACATACCGGTTTTTTTGAGACTCTGACTTCAACCTCTGGGGACAATGAAAATAAAGCCTTTATCAGAGAGGATTTTCCAACATTGCTTCTGCCTATAAAACACACCTGAGAGGAAAAAAAGATAGTATCTATGTTTAATTCGCTGCAAAACTATTAAGCTATTCATCATCTTTCTTACCTATATAAAAAGTGACTTGGTTTTAGTCAAACCTCAAATTCTAATACACAGTGAATACACAGTGAATGACTACCCTACGTTAGACATTATTTCAAGGGCTTAACATACATGTCCTTTTTACAACAATCCTACAAAATATGTAATACTATTTTCCCCAAATGACCAAAGAAAAACTAAAATCAGAGAGAGGTTAAATAACTGGCCCAAATTACACAACTAGAGAATAAAGTAGGTAGGATTTGAACTTGTTGTTACGTGCTGTTGAGCAGAACCCATACCTGATCCTCCAGTGTTTTCAGAGGCTGTAAATTATGTGAGAGATTGCTCTTCTTGTCCCTCAGAGTAGCTGGTGGATTCTAATCTCTTGCCTTTGGGTTGGCAGCTCCCAGCTTCTGACCACTAGGAGACCAGACTCATAGCCAGAAACTTCACCTCACATCCTTTCAGCATGCTGTCAAAAAGGCCTAGTCCTTAGAAAAAGATACCATGGCAGGGAAAGATAGAAGGTCAGAGAAAGACAGGAAGACTCTCAATAAGATGGACTGACAGGGTTACAGTAACAACGGGTTCGAACAACCACACAAAAGAATGTGGAAATTATCAAAGAGTATCATTAATGCCGCACGCAGCAAGCAAAATCTTGCTGAAGATTTAAAAAAAAAACAGCTAGCACAAGATAGCAACAGAAAAATGTCATAGATTTAGGCTGGTTTAAGAAGAGACCTTCACAGCAGGGATGTCACCACTGATGCCAGATGGATTGTGGATGAAAGCAAGGAGTACCAGAAGAATGTCTACTTGTGTTTTATTGACCATGCAAAGGCATCTCACTGCGTGCATCAAAACAAATAATGGCCAACAATGAGAAGAATGGGAATCCCAGAACCCTAAACCGTGCTCATGTAAAACCAACACCTAGAGATAACCAGAACCATTTGCTGCAGAAGATCAAAGACTTCCACATGATTACATCTCAACACCAAGAAAACAAAAATCCTCATCACTGGGCCAATCAGAAACATCATGATCAATGAAAGAGAGGACTGAAATTGTCATCTAGGATCCACAATCAAAACCCTTCACACTAACAGTCAAGAAATCAAAGACATATTGCATTGGGATAATATGCTGTCAAGGACCTCTCCAAAGTCCTAGTGAGCACTAATATCAGTTTAAAGACTAAGGTGTAAGTGATGCAATCCATGGTCCTTTCAATTGCTTGCTATGATTTGAAAACTGGACAATAAATAAGGATGATAGAAGAAGAATTAATCCCTCTGAGTTGTGATGTTGGAGAAGAATATATCCCATGGATTGTCAAAAGAATAACATATATATTGGAGAAAGTGTAACCAGGGTGCTCCTTAGAAGCCAGGATGGCCAAACTTTGTTTCACATACTTTGAACATGTTAAGAGAAGCCAGTCCTTAGAAACAGGGATTATGGAAAGACGGATGGCTGACAAAAGAGTGGAATACCTTCACTGAGAAGAATGGCATAAGTGACTGTAACAATGGGCTCAAATATGAGAAATGATGATGATGGCATAGGACAGGGTAGGGTACAGATATGCTATTCATAGAGTTAATATGGGTCAGAGTTGACTTGGCAGCATCTAACAACAAGAATATATCAGAGGTGGTGATAAAGGCACTGGATAGGGCAAGGTTCAGACTGTTATTAACAGGACTGATACAAGTCATAGTTGATTTGATAATACCTAACAACAATAACCAGATCTGTGCTTTTAAATATCTATGCTATGCAAGAATATTGGTAACATTTATTAAGTATTCTGTATAAACAAAGTTTTTTGAAATCTGAAAGTAATGGATTTCAGTCTGAAATTCAAGCCAAATTCAGAAGAGGATATAGAATGAGGGAGATCGCCAATGATGTTAGATATAACAAGGTTGAAAGCAGAAAATACAAGAATGATGTTTGATTGAGTTTTATCGACTATGCTAAGGTATTCAACTATGTGATCATAACAAATTACAGACAATATTGCAAAGAATGGGAGGATGCATTAATAACTTGTCATATAAAGATGATACAACCTTGTTTGATCAAAATGAAGGATTTAACATACTCCCTTATGAGGATAAACGACTATAACCTTCACTACAGATTAAGCCTCAACATAAGTAAACAAAAATCTTCACAGCTGGACCCATAAAGCAATAGTGTGATCAACAGAGAAAAGATTGAAGCTTTTAAAGATTTCATTCCACTTGGACCCACAACCATGAAAGCAATGGTCAAAACAATCAAACAATGTATATTACACTAGAAAAATCTGCTTATAAACGAACTCTTCAAAGTGTTCCAAAGCAAAACCGTTTTGAGGACTAACATGTACTTTACCCTAGCCATGATATTTTCATTATGTGAATATAAAAATAAAGACTGATGAAGTGATGTCTTTGAATGAGGGTGTTGGAGAATAGTGAATATATACCATGAACTGACAGAAGGGGGGAAAAAAAATCTGTATTTATCTTGGAAAAAGTATAACCAGAATGTCTTTTAAATGATGACACTTCATTTCATATACGTGGGGCGTCTTATGAGGTGGCCCAGTCCCTGGAGAAGGATGACACATTTGATATGATTGAGGTTTAGTAAAAAAGAGGAAGACCTTCAATGAGATAGACTAACATGCCATTGCAACAAAGGCTTCAAACAAGGTAATGACTGTGAGACTGGAATAAGATTGTGCAGTGTTTCTCAACTGCACTTCACAACACTGAAGGAGGTGAGGTGACAATACTATACTCCACTGCTTCATTACCATTAATCTGATGATCTTCCATTGAGTTTTCGAGGCTGTAACTTACAAGGGAAAAGATTGCTCATCTTTTTCCTGCTGGAGCCACCTGTGGGTTCAAACTGCCAGAAAGGTACAGCTTTTTGGGAAGCAGCAACTTATCTATGAACTATGCCATAAGAGCGCTCTCATTACAACCTCTAAATAAAAAAAAAAAAACCCTCAAAATCACTGCCACTGACTTGGAACCAAACCATAGCTGACCTCCAGCAGGTTTTCAGAAGTTGTACATTGCACAGGAGGAAACTGTCCATCTTTCTCTCAGAGCAGCTAGAGGATTCAAATTGCCAGCCTTCTGATAACACAACTAGGATAACCCACTAGTCACCATAGCTTCCTCATTATAAACTAGTGAGGTCTTCTACAGGGGGTCAGTACCACCTTCAGTGGCTGTTTTGGAAAAAAAAATCTCTGAAGGCATTTCTGACTATTCATATAATTGTGGGGACTTACTGTTGTTTGCTCTTAAGTCAGGAAAGACCCTCCACTGGATTTTCAGAGGCAGAAAATCGCATGGAAGGAGCCTGGCCATCCTTTTCCCACAGAGCAGCTGGAGCATTTGAACTGCATGCCTTTGGGACTGCACTGTGGCTTCTTAAACACTAGCCCACTAGAGCTCCCTTCTCACCAGTAGGCCAATACGATCTATATTTTCCAATACGATCTATATTTTATGCATCACTAAAAAGCAAATAATCAAGAATTTGTGAATTACTGCTCAACGTAGATGAATCAAAAACAAGCTATGCTGAGTGACATAAAATAATTACAAAAGGACATTTAAGGCATCAGACCACTATTATAAAAAGCTGAGGAAAGGTTTACAAACAGAATCATTCTTGCAAGGTTAGCCGCGATGGGAAAAATTTATCAATAAGGATTACCTTATGGGTGTGGTTATTAAACGTTTTCATATTCTTCACTCTGTCTAATCTGTTTTGGCAAATTTTCACTTAAATTCAATTACTACGAATTCAACTTAATAAGAAAAGATTCATAAAAAAACAATGTTCTTAATTCTTAGTTCATTCATGTCTTTTCAAAATTTCTGTATTCACTGCATATGCTTATTTAGTTGAAATAATTACATTCATCAGCATAAAGCTAGAAAACATTTCTCCCTTGGGTAGGAAATAGAGCACCAAAAAGACATTAAAAAAAAAAAAAAAAGTCAAAACCCAACCAAGGCTTAACCGTGGTAGATCTCACGGGTGGGCGCGAACCGGTGGTGTCACAGTTCTCACCTCCGGGCGGAGGAGGTCCGGGGCGTGGTCCAGGCGGACTGCAGAGCTCAGGTACTCGATGCGGTGGCGCTCGGTGGCCGTGAAGAACGCGTCCGCTTTTGCTACGTCCTCTAGGCGCGGGTCAAAGATCCTCAGGCGAAGGCTGGGCCTCGTGTCTGGGACGAGGTGCCGCTCGAGCTCCTGCAATGGGAACACCAGCTTCGTGAGCTGCTTCCTAGGTAGCCGCAGCACCTCTGCAAAGGCCTGGGCCATAGTGACACCAGGTTCACAGGACCCGCGCTGCGGGCACCAGCCAGTCTCTGCCGCAGTACTCCGCCTCCCGAAATCCCTGCGGTGAGACGACTCGGGCCTGGACCGCGCATGCGTGACTCTGCTCCCGCTAGGACTGCTGGGAATTGTAGTCAGCGGACTTGGTCCTGCCTGTTCGTTTGTAGGTGTGTGTCTGCCGGCGTTCCCAGGAGGCGAGCGTTGGGTGGTACCTGTTGCATTTCAGGTCGTGAGGCCTGCTATTTAACTCATCTGTTAAACTGCTGTTAGGTCCTGTGAAGTTGCATACGACCCATAGTGACCCGTGAACAACGTATCTGAACGCTTTCCTGTTCTGTGCTTTTCTCAAAGTTCCTCACACCCCAGAGCCCATTGCTGCAGTCACTGTGAACATTCTTATCATTGCTCTGTGTGTGTGTGTGTGTGTGTGTGTGTGTGTGTGTGTGTGTGTGTGGTGTGTGTCTTTGTGTTTTTCGCTATATCTCTACCTTTACAATCATGTTTCTCTCCTAACAACCTAGGGAGATAGTTTTCAGAGGTAACATGACCTTTGAGCCTCAAGCAAAGGAGTGAAGTTATAAAAAAGTGTGAAACCCTGGTGACCCAATTTGTCTTCACAGTTTGTGGCTGTCTGACTGATCGTTGACATTTGTCTTAAGTAAATATCACTAGGAAACCTTTTCTGAAGAAAACAAGTGCTGAAAAATGTGGGTGAACAGCATCAGTTGTCAATAGAAATCTTAATTCATTACTCACTAGAACTGCAGGATAGATTACTATAACCTGGAGAGTTCATAGACAATACTAGCAAAGCAATTCTGAATAGATTTTAATGTAAATTATATATCTTATTTCAAGAGCAATTCAAAATGATGAATGATAAAATAGGAGATACAGATTCTACAAGATAAAATTAATAATTTAAAGATCACTTGTGTGCTGAGTAGATTCTGACTCAGGTTAAATTGCTACTTATATAGGTTGAGTAGCTCTGGTGGCTTAGTGTAAGGAATTCTGCTGCCAATGCAAAGGTTCTCAGTTCAAAACACCAGAGAAAGACGGGCAAAATGTGATTTACTGCCACTGGAAGCCCGATAGAGGGTCAGTTATAGGTCTTTTCAAGGATATAGGTCTTTCAAGGCTGTAATCTTTATGAAAGGAGCTTGCCAGGGCTTTCTCCCACAGAGTCTTCAATGAGTTCCAACTGGGACCTTTATAGTTAGTAAAAGAAAATGCTAAACCACTTTACAAGGAGGGCTAGATCTTCTAAAAGGGCAGCAGCTCATAGCAGAGATCTCTCTCTTTTCCATTGCAGTCCAATGGGAATTGACTCACAGATGACCCCCCAGTGAGTTTTTAAAGGCTATAAATAAATGCCAAGGGAGGAGATTGCTGGTCTTTCTCCTGTGGAGTAGCTAGTGGATTTGAACAGCCCATATATGAGTTAGCATATATTACAACTCTTTATCCACTAGGCTGCTGTAGCTTTCCTCAACAGCAAAGGAACATGAATTCACAGCTTCTTGAGAATTTTCCCTAGTTGCTCAGGGACTATTCAGTGCAATTCTCATGAGAATTTTGATAGAAAAAGAATTGAATAGTAGCCAGTACACGAAGTTCTTCTGCTGGAGGCCTATTATTTTTCTTTTTACTGTGACTTAAGTGAAATTTACAAAGCAAATTGGATTTCCAGTTACACCATTCACATAGTTTGTTTTATGGCATTAATTTCTCTGGTGGAGTGGGTCTATTAGGGTGCTCTGCTGGCCTAACGGCAAGCAATAGCGCTGTCAACCTGAAGGCTTGTTTGAATATACTAGTGTGCGGGAAAGATGAGCCATTTCCTCTTTTGTGATTTACTGCCTTTGAAAACTCACTGGCTAACCAGTAAGGAATCAGTTTCAACTCGACAGCACACAACAACAATGGTGGGTTTATCGTTCAATATGGCTTTCTGGAACCATTGCCCATGACTGTGCCGTATGATTGGGTGAGAGCACGCAAATAAGATGTTTGTCTAACCATAAAGGGATTGACTAGTTTTGACATTCTACCAGGCTGAAATTTAGTAGGCTCAGCTGCAGATATTTGGCAATCTCATTACCAGCAAAAAAGAAGAAGCAGAGAATGCAGCGTGTTTTTGGGGGGGCTGGAGATTCACATACTATTGAGACCTGGGCCTACAGGACAGCAGCAGAGGCCCTATCAGAGAACCAGAGACCTGACATGAGGCAGAGCTGACCTGGTACTGCTGTTCCATGGAGCCAAAGCCAGAGGCCTTCACCTGTGCTTGCTGGAGAACTTGGAGGTGGTTGTTAGGTACCATCAAATTGAGTATGACTCATACCGACCCTATAAACAACAGATCTGAACAGTGTTCCATCCTGTGCTATGTTTATCATTTCTGACGTATTTAAGTTCATTATAGCAGTCACTGTGTCTATCCATCTCGTTAAAGGTCTTCCTCTCTTTCCTTAATCGGCAGGACTAAGAGAGCTTTGAAAGACATGACTAAGCCATCTGACTGAAGGCTTGAAAGGCCTGCAAACACATGTCAAGCTAAACTGACTGAGACATTGTATTTTGTTGCCAACCTGAGCTATAAACCTATAGTTCAGGGGTTGACTTTCCTAATAAACTTCGTAATAATGAGTTTGGTTCTGTGAGGCCTGTGTAGCTACTGCAATGGGTTTGAAGGGTTGGACTAGTGTTGGTATTAGTAGAAAGTGGTGTGAGAGTGTGGGAGACATTTCTGTGCACATGGGCACTGGTTTTGTATTGTGGGTGCTAATGATGGAAACAGTCCTTTTATGTCCTGTTAGTAGAGATCAGACTTAGCCATCCTCACCCTGCCTCTTGCTCTTTTTAAAATTACAATACCCACAATATAACTCTCCTCTTCCCACACCCTTCTTGTGATTCTCCTTTGCCTGACTACTTTTATCCCACCCCTTTTTCTTTCTGAACTATATCTCTGGGGAAATACTACCCTTTTGCCCATATGTGGGTGACTATTCTAAAGAACGAGTGCTTTTCTGGTGGTGGTGGTGGTGTCTACCATCAAGTCACAACTGACCCATAGCTGACTGTCTGGTGTGTTTTCAGAGGCAGTTATTCACAGGGGAGGAGATTGCCCATCCGTTTCTCATGGAGCAGCTGGTGGATTCGAACTGCATGCCTTTGAGATTGCAGTGCAGCTTCTTACCACTAGGTTGTCAGAGCTCCCATTATAGACCTGTGGGTAGCTTGACTGAAAGTTGAAACATTTTTTTCCAGGTTTGAGGTTGATTATGGACCATATTTTTGGGAATTCTACCATTCAAATCAGTAAGCATGGTCATTTTTTTTTCTTTTTCAGTTTTATCCCACATTTTTAATACACTGTATTGATACCTTATACCGAGATTCCCTTTGATGGTCACTGGTGGCAGCAAAGCACCATCAATTTATTTTCCTGTCATGGAAATTGAGGTTTGCATGGTTCCTTAGTACTTTAGACTAATTGTTTCAATGCTGTTCTGCCTCCTGCATCTGCATGCTTTCTCTTTGTTCCAGATAAGAAGAGACCAACGGTTACATCACAGCTGCTTGCAAGCTTTTTGGACTCCAGTTGTTCCCAGAGTAGGAGAGAGAACATTGTCTTTGGACTATGTAATGCAAATTGATCTTGATGTCCCCCAAGGTGATTAAGACTACTAAGATCTCATAGTGCATTCTCTCAGGGTATTTGATTACAATTAAAAGTTACTTAAGTCTGCCCCCTTGTTGACTCTGCCACCTACATGGATGTATTTATCTTGTTATGGGCCATCCAGTTGACCCACTGAACGATGGCCCTGAACTCTGCCCTGTCCTGTGCCATCATCAACAACTCTGATGCACTAGAGTCCACCATAGACACTGTGTCAATCCATCTCTTGAGGGTCTTCTTTTCTTATGCTGACCCTCCAGCTTTCCCAGCATGATATCCTCCTCCAGGAACTGACTCCTCTTAACAATATGCCCCAAATATGTGAAACAGAGTTTCCCCATACTTGTCTCAAAGGCACTCCCTTGTTTTACTTTCCCCAGGATAGACCTTGTTGTTGTCTTGACAGTCCATCGGATATTCAGTACTCTACTTCAAAACCACGACTCAAAGGCACCAATTCTTCTGTCATCCTCATTCATTGTCCACGTTTCAGATACATAGCAAGTCATTGAAAAACCATGGCTTGGATCAGGTGCGCCTTGTTTTTAACTGATATCATTCTTTATTACTCTGGAGAAGTCCCTGACAACAGATTTTCCCAGTGCAACTTGTATTTTTTTTTTTTTTGCAACTTGTATTTTTAATTTATGACTCTGGTACCAAAAGTGTTGATTGTGGATCTAAGCAGGATAAAATCATTGACAACGCCAATGTTTTCTCAACCTGTCATGATATTTCCTAATGGCCCAATGGTGAGGTTTTTTTTTTTTTGATGTTGAAATGCGGTCCATATTGAAGTCTGTAGTCCTTGATCTTCTGCAACAAATGCTTCAAGTCATCCTCACTCTTAGCAAGCAAGATTGTGTCATTTGCATAACACAGGTTATTAATGAGTCTTCTTCTGATCCTGATGCCACATTCTTATTAATAAACTCCAGCTTTGCAAATTATTTGCTCAGCATACAAATTGAAAGGTATGTAGAGAATATACTAACCCTAATGCACACCTTTCTTAATTTTAAACCATGCAGTGTTCCCTTCATCTATTCACACAACAGTCTCTTGGTATAAGTTTTGCATGAGCATAATTTAGTCTTTTGGGATTCCTATTCTTAATGTTAGCCATAATTTTTGATGTTCCACACAGTCAAATGCCTTTGCGTAGTCAATACAACACAGATAGACATCCTTCTGGAATTCTCTGCTTTAAGCCAAGATCTATCTGACATCAGCAATGATATCTCTGGTGCCATGTTATTGTTATTGATATGTGCCATCGAGTCAAATATGACACATCTCGACCCTATGAAGAACCATCCTGAAGCCTGCCCTATCCTCTGCCATCCTCCCCATCTCTGAGACACAACAGCTCATTGCTTCAGCCGCAGTGTCACTATCTCGTTGGAGGGCTTCCTCTCTTTCAGTGACCCTCCATCTTTCCAAGCATGGTGTCTCATTCCAAGGAATAACCTCCTGTAGCTACATGTCCAAAGTATAAACCATGGCTCTGGATCCTACCCT